AAATATTGGAGACGGTATAATTGATGATTCTGAATCAGTAATGGAGTTAAAAATGAAGAAAAAATTCCAAATACTGAAGTTGATACGGTTGTAAAACCTAAACGAGCTCGTAAAGAAATTTTAACACCATGATTAGCTGCAGCACTTGATAAGTGTAAAATAAGTGAGAGAGATACGGTCCATTTACTTACAGCTTTTTTGGAAGTAATTTTATTAGATTCAGCTGATTATATAATTAATCGTACATCTATCCGTAAAGCAAGAGATAATTATCCAAGAACTTACTATGAAAAGGTAAAAAAAAATGATTGAAGTTTAGAAAAAGATGTTGTAACAATACTTTGGGACACAAAATTATTAAGTAACATTATTGGACAAAAAGTCGATAGATTGGCAATAATTGCAATGTCCATGCAGTTTATAAACTTTTAGGAGTACCAGAAAACGAGTGTGAAGCTACCAATTCGTCGTCCACCAACTTTTTATCACTAACAAATATTGGTTACCCTTCGGTTACCGATATTTTATAGAGTATAACGCTTTTTCTAACCGATAGATGTAGACACATAATACCAAAAAGCATATATTAAACGCATTCACTAATCATACACACAACAAAGATCTGACGGCCAGTGGGAGTATAAATACACTTACTATCGTATACACCGCCGTACAAACTCATATAATTGTGAACGACCACTGCACTTAACAACTTAGCATTTGATATTATATTATAGAGTTTTTTATAAGCTTTCAGAAAATGTATAGAAAATATCTGGCCTCGTCTCGGAACATAGTCAAAATCGCAAATTACTGTGGCCGAGTTGATGCGTTTATATGCTACCAAAAGTAATTTCCGCGGTCTTTATTTGCAATATTCAGTTACACCTGCACGTTTCACCCGTTAACTTTTCACACTATTTATAGTCTTTTATAAGCTTCTATTACTATAGAGGTGAGTGGGGTAATTGTTAATTTATATTTTCTCCAGGATTATTTATCAGCTTTTATTTTATTTTAAAAGTTCTGGTCCTTATACGTGTTACTATTATTAAATATAACATGGAAATATAATCATGTGCATTGATAATTTAAAATACATTCACAACTACCCCAATTTACCTTATATTTGGATTTAAAAAAAAGAATTGATGATTACAATGATTTACACTATTTTTATCAATTTCAGCTTGCAATCACTGTGGCCAGAATGGCCACATTGTTAGTAATTGTCATGTAAAAGGTAATAATTTTGTTTAATTCTCACTAGTAGTATAACCTATATTTAGTTAGCAAATATTGGGTTATACTTTCAATGTGTTTTTATTCATGTATAATGTTTAATTTTGTCATTATACTTAATTGAGACTAATAAAATTATTGCTAATTTCAATTATTTTTTTTAGCTGCTGGTCTACCTTCAATTTCAAAAATGTGCTCTTATTGTGGTCTCCCCGGGCACGGGAAAATGGAATGCCATGTCAAAGGTAATATTTGTGATATATTTCTTTTTAAATTTAATAACATTCTAAAAGTAATTTTTTTTCATCTAAAAACTTGTTCTTTAATTTTTGTCTTGCTTTAATAATTGACGTAAGCCTAAAGGTTAATGCTGATTTATTTTATGTTGCTTATTTAATCAATCGTATCGTATGTGTCAATTGAACCCATAATTATTTTGTAAATTGTAGTTTTAAGGAATTTATATGTAACATTGTGTAATTACTAGAAAGTAAGAGTATACTGCCAAATACCATAATTGAAGAAAGTATTATGGTATAAATATTTAATGAATTGTGTAAATACTAAAGGGGACTTGACCATCTTCTTGGTATTTTCGTATACCATTGGTATCTTCGTAGTTGTTTATCTCCGTTCGCACCCAAACGCTACCGCTTATTCGTCCATATAGGCTTATTTCACGGCTATCCTGTATATCTACAGGATTAACAAGCGTTTGGGTGGCTCGCTGTCCGCGACCGCTTATTCGTCAGTCCAAATGAATGGACTGCTTATTTCGCGGCTAACCTGCATATCTGCAGGCCGTTCCTCTATCCGCAACCTGAGGACGCGCCAGCAGGCACCCTTGCGGTCTGGACCTTTACAGGCGGCCGCAATGTGCCCTCGCTCCAGGCACCTGTAGCACTGAGGACCCTTGTCTTCGAGGATCCTCAGCCTGCAGGAGCTCCACCCCACCCTCACTCGCGTGAGGGCCGCTAGGCGTGGAGCCAGCCGGATAGGCAGGTCACACCTGGCGTACCGCCTCTTGCCGACTCCGTTGGTGCGGACCGTGACCGCACCAACTTCGGCCTGGCCCCCATCTGGGGCCTGGAGGGCGGAGACCAGGGCGGACTTAATGTCGCTCGGCTCCATCCACTCCTTCACATCCAGGTCTTAATCGGCCTAGTGACCCGCACGTCATGCTCCTTTAGGGCCTCCTTCAAGGTGGCGGCCAGGAGGTCTGCGTGGGAGGCTACGCCTTTGACCTCCAGCAGCACCGCCCCTGCTTGGGTCCTCCTGGTGCCGGTCACATGGACCCCCAAGGCATGGAGGTCAACAGCCCCCATGGCCGTTTTCATAACGGCCGCGTACTGCTGACCCTCCTTAAGGGGCCCAATCACCACCGCCTTCGTGCGGGGTACCTTCGCCTTCATCTGTGCGGCCGAAGGCTTCCTCGACCCCGCTTTCGGGGGAGGTGGTTTCGGTTTCGAGGCGGCAGGCCTTTCTTCCCGGGACCCCGGGTCGGTCGGCTTCTTTGCCTTAGCCTTCCGACCGACAACCTCGGTCCATAGCGGCGCAACGGAAGTGGCGCTCGCCGGGACCTTGGCCGTCTCCGGGGCCATCGACGCCGTCCCTCCCGAATTAGCCGGTTTGCCCGCGGGTCGAGGCTCGGGCGCAACAACCGCCTTCTATTTCTTCTTCCTGCTTTTCCTCTTTCCCCGCTTCCCCACCCTGACGGGTGATGGTTCCTGGGGAATAGAGGCAGGGGCAGGAGGACCGTCTGGCACCCTCACCGGGCTACGCTCGTCTGCGCCCAACCCTTCGCCACCCGCAATCTTCAGGGGCTCCGTCTGCGTCGACGCCTCGACGTTCGGGAGGTCCTCCTCAGGTGTGCGGGTCAGCTCAAGGTCGTACATCGACCGAACGCTCCTGATGAGGGCCCTACACGCGGACGCGACATGGTCGTGCGGGGGTAAGGCCGCCATTGTGTTTTCCAGCTTTTTAGCTTGGAAAACAGCAAGCTCCAGTCCGGCCGTTAGGACGGACCTGGAGCTGGCGCGGTCTAGCTTCGACCGTGGCGTGCCGTCCTCATGGAATAGGTCGGCAGCCACGATCTCCCCGCACTTCCTCCTCTTCATCTCCGGCGCACGACCGGGTTTGTCCACCAACGGGATTAGCGCGTTAGGAGGAGTGTCGTCCAATATGACGACCTCCGGTCCATCCACCGTTGGGGACACCTCCTTCCTTTTGCCACGGACGGCATCGTCATCCCCGGATGCTCCGTCCTCGGGAACTCCATCGGGTGTAACACCCGATGGTGCCGACTTGCACGTCCCCATCCTGGACGCACTCAGCAGCCTCTCCATTATGGAGGGCTTAGCAGAGGTGTCCAAGGATGTGGCCGCATTCAAATTTTCCAATCCAGTGTCCGTTAATCCAATTTTGCCAGTCGCCAATGACCTTCCGGCTGTTTCACCGGCGGGAGTGGCTTGGTCGCCACCACTCCCTGCAGTCCCAGTACCAACCCCGTGGTTGGCTGCAGGAGCCTGCCTCAACACTCCTGCATTTACTGTGTATTCGCTTGATCCTAGCGACACCTGGTGGGTACACCCCCCACCAACCGCCGGCACTGGGGCATCCGATACCCCTGATGCAGTAACCGTTGTATCCTTTTGTTCCATTATTCATATAAAATAATTTGTGAGGGGGCTGCCCTCGTGGCCGGTCCCTTTGGCCAGTGAGTGGCCAACTCACTGGTTGCGTGGTCCGTGATACTCCTTCTTCTCACCCAAACGCTACCGCTTATTCGTCCATAATGGCTTATTTCGCGGCTAACCTGCATATCTGCAGGCTGTTCCTCTATCCGCAAGCTGAGGACGCGCCCGATTCCCCGAGCTAGGGACGCTGTGCTCGTGCCGACGTTTCGTAGCCCTGTAGAGCCCGATCACGCCGACACTGTAGCGCAGCGCAACGGGAGCGGCGGCATTTTAACTCAACAAAACCCAACAAAAGGTCTATTTTAGAAAAATTACTTAATGATTTTATTTATTTCCACGCACTCACAAATAAGTAGTTAAAGTCAAAATTTAAAATACAAAAAGACATTAGAGCAATGATAATTAAGACGGTGACGACGGAAGCGTCAACGTTAGTGGTGATGACGGCGGCGTTTAACCCAACACTACCTAAACATGGCTACATGTGTAAAGTGTGTACAACATAAAAAAATTGACTTTCCTTAATTCATGCCCCTTAATAAGTAGTTTAATAGAATGGAGTAGACTAACAGTGGTATTACGTTTAATATCGTTTATTTTAAACTTATAGTTTAATAATATATTTATAAAGATATTTACAGTGCAATATTATTTGCAACTACATTTTTGATATTGTGTCAAATTCTATTCGATAGTTCAGTAACACAAACAAATAATTATTTTCGCTAACGAGTATAAGTTATTGATGTTTTCTAATTGAAAGTATTTACTTTAATTAGCTAAAATATACACGTGCACTCAGTGCTCGAATTGGCCAAAAATAAGTAGGGGAGCTCAACTTAACAATTTGACAACTGCGTCCCTAGCATTTTGAAGACTTTTTTTTTTTTTTTACTCATTACTTTATTTAGTATTTATTAATAAATCATATTTCATTATCATACTAATATTTAAAAAAAAAAAAAAGAGGTGGTATTTTCTACCGTCCTCCCGTCCCATTAAAAAAAAGTAGTTGGGGTGCGCAAAAAAATTTTAAAAAAAGTAGAGGAGCTACGTCCCCCTGTGCACCCCCCCCCCAATTCGAGCACTGCGTGCACTATTATTTGAGTTAATGAGTAATCGTTAATGATTTTTTCTAATTAAATCATACATTCACTGAATGTTGTATATGGTATTTAACATATGTTATTTAACTACATGTTTAAGTCAGTTAAAGGTTAGTCTAACTGTTTAGGGTAGGATGGCAAATTATTAGAAAGTAAAAATATTTTAGCACTGAAAAAAAGAAAGCATTGTAGTATACGAGAGTGAATGTTATGTAATAAACTGTAAAAATTATTATTAAACATGTAAATTGAAAAAAAAAAAATAAAATATAATTACATAACATGGCAGTTTTTTATTTACATAAACAGAAGTAAATTAAGTTTAATTAACATATTTTAGAAAAAGCTCTAAATAAATGAGCTATTTTTAACATTCAATTTTAAAAACAGAATTACAATTATTTACATAAATACAAAGTATGATTAAATACAGAAATTTGCCAATCCGCCTTGATTTTTCAAACTCCTAAAATTAAATTTGTAAATTAATATGTATGTATATTACAGTGCTAATAAAGATTGTCAAACTCACTCAATGTTGTAGTGTCCATGTGCTAATGTATGAATTTGATCCTTTAACACAACCCTCTTATCGTCGTATCTATTTAACACTAGTTTTGTGCTATCAATCGACTTAATTTGGTGTTTGTACGATCTAAAGGATTGCATTTCTCTATAAGGAGTATAATCTTCGGGTAAATCGATTATTCCCTGAAAAAGACACTGTTTATAATTTTCAAATTTTATATGGTTTTTTACCACGTTTTATTTTGAATAAAACCGTATGCTTTAGATCTTAGAGCAACATGTGCTGAAATAAACTCTCCACCAGTCTCGTCTGTGAAAGTGCCGGGAATCTTGCAACGCTCTATACGGTAACATGGATGGTTAACTAGATAGTTTGAAGTATCCAGTTTTTCCAAAAACCCTCGATTATGTTCCATATTCTCATAAAAATTTTTTGTTTTCACCAGGTATATCAATGAATCTAAAACATAAGATTTAATTACACAAAAATAAAAATAAACAAATAAAAATGTGAATTTACCAGTGTCCATGTATAGGAGTTCAATGTTTTCTCCATATAACGCTTTCATGGTACCGTAGTGAAAATCATACATTAGAGTTTTAGATATGTCTAAAACGGCAAATCCTATGTACATGGGCTTATCAAAAACTAAATCGTCTTTATGTAAATGTACAGCACACAAGTTGTCACCATATATTGTTGTGCCTTTATGGTTTGGTAAATTGACAAGTTTTCTGTATCTTGCCTCGCTGCTCGTAAGTTCCATTTTCAATCTTAGGCGAACGTTCTCCATCGTTTTACCTAAAATATTATGTATATTTAATTACAAAATAATAATCGTTAAGTATATAATAATAAATATATGAAAAAATAAACGCACCAAACACGGAATTGTTCATAAGTTTGTAAAAATCTTTTTCAAAAGTATTTTTCGCCATCGCCCTCATCCTTGTATTCAGAGAAATGTAACTTGCGAGCCAAGGTGATTGATTAAATTCAATATTACGGTGTACTTTTTCTAAAACTAATCCTGCCTGTAACGCTTGCTTTAAAGATTTATAGTGTACAATATATTTTTTTTTATTTTCCAATGTGGCTAAAAGTTTGGGAAATTTAGATCCAGTTGGTATTTTTTTATCAGGTAAATATGGTAAATCATTATGATTATCATGCAATTGCGTCGGATAAGAAACATCAACTTCTAATATCATCCCTTTACACGAATCAGCTGGTGTTTCTTCCAATCTCTTTAAAACTGCCGGAACACTTAAATTTTTTTCGCTCCATTTAAACCCATCTTTAGGCAAGTATTGCGACATTGACCATCCATATCTGAAAGTATTATAAAAAAAAAATAATAATAATTATATATTATAGTAAAACTATTATATAAAATTTAAAAAAAAAAAATCAATTTTACTCACAAATTTGTAGCATCGAGATAAACAATCCAGTTATCCGGCTAAGTATCATCATAACCAGGAAGTCCTATGTGATTAGCTTCAGAGTATCTGCGAACTGCAGTTGTTAAACCCCCTCTAATACCCTGCTCTAACATCATAAGCATGTCGTAGTCATTTAAAAGTTCCAACTCGATCTTTGTATGCTTTAACATACAGTCAAAAGACATGCTCGGTGTGGTGTAATAATAATTAGGATCTAATCCATACGTTTTTAAACAGATGTCTCTAAAAGATTCAAATACATCACATAACAACAACACATCCAATTTCAAATACCAGTCACTATATTGCCCCAACGTTGTACATTCAAAATGATCCCAAACTTTTTGCGCGTGTTTATAATCCTCTTCTGTTATATGGCTCTCATTCAGAGAACTATAAAACTCGTTAATGGATGGCAGCGATGTTTCATTTAATTTTTCAAAGGAGTCTGTATACTCGTAGGGGTAAACACCTTTACGAGTAATAAGACCTATATCTGTTTGAGGAAAATGTTTTGCTGTCTCTTTGAATTTTTCAACATCCCCTTTAGCCAAATTTTCGGTTAGTTTTGTCAAACTAGATGCCATAAATCTGTTGCTGTCTACAAATCTTATTTTTAAATCCTTAGTAACATACTTTGAAAATGAAATAAATTTTTCTTCGGTGTTAGGTATAATATTTATCGGTTTATCATCATATCCTAGCTGTGTTACAATGAAATGACTGTCATAATTTGATAAGTTATGAAAAAAACATGGCATGAATTTAGGAGATTTTAAATTTAAATTACACTCATTACATATTGTCTGTCGATATTTAGAAGTTAAATGTTCATGATCACGCACTGGTTGATTGTTTGTAGAGAATTTTTTAGAGCATAAAGGACACGAACCCCGTTTTACTATATCGTTATGTTTTTTCGCGTCAGCATGCTTAAAAGTCATTGGCATGTTGACTTTTAACATTTCCGATATATTTCGAGCTACTTTAACAATTTCTTGAACAAAATGTTTAGCCACCGCACCCTTTTCTCCAATACCGTCCCCTCTGTACAACACTGGAGACGTTGGAATTGAAAACTGCTGTAGTAATGTAATTGGTATGTCTTCTTTAGCCTTAATATAATAACAGTAGCTCATGGGTTCATGGTCATGAGTTATTTAGGTATTATGCAATTCTTCAGAGTCGTGTTTGAACTAAACAGCTTCAAAATCCGCGCAAATGGCAACAGGATGCCGTTCAGTATTGGCCCAGTTTTCAAATTTGGTTGTTGTATTAGACTTAGGCATAACTGGTGTTATAGGCTCGTTAACTCTACAACGCTCTTTGTGTTGACGTANTAGGCTCGTTAACTCTACAACGTTCTTTGTGTTGACGTAGAAGTTCTTCTTTGCTGGGTTTTCCTGGCTTGGAAATGTAAGTTTTAAAGCATCTTCTACATATAACAGTTTTAGAACAAAATGACGTCATCGATGATCGTACCAGCTTAGCCAGATCGGTTATGTAACAATAATGTCTCTGGCCAGCCTCGTTTGAAATCATTAAAAGATCGAAATGATCGGGTTTTTCATCCTTGCACACTCTTAAAGGAATTACAATGTTTTTTTCTATTATACATTGAAAATGTGCCTCTTTTGAAAATTAACATAATGTGAAAATAAAAGACTAAACAGTTTACAATCAAAATTACATCTTAAATCGTTCTATGGGTAAACTTCTTAATTTAAATACACTTTAAGATTTGTTAAATTACAGTGATCAAACTTAGACATTGATTTACTTTCACTATTTTTACGGTCTGTTTGAAACCCTACTATAACATAACGGGGCTTTTGAAAATGATTACATGTTTTAACGGTCCACGAAAACGATTTGTTTTGTGGTACAAACGGATATTCACACAGTTCCCAATTTCTATGGGCGCAATGTATAGGCTTTTTACTATCTAAAACTCTAAGTAATTTTAATTGTTCCTTTTCGGTCACTTTGACGATTGGCATATTCCATACAACTTTTGTTAGTTTAATTGATACTGTAGACAGTTTTTCTTTTACTGTGGTACTCGTATCTAATAGCTTGACAACCTCATTATCATCAGAAGTTCCCGTGCTGCATTTAAGTTTTTCAGAGGACTCTTTCACATTGAACATTTTGATTACGTTAATGTCTGATGAACTCCTCGTACATATTAATGATTGGGTGCAGTTTAAGAGTATTTTTTTATAATCTTCGGCAAACCCTAGTATATGCGATACCGATATAATCCCAGAAAAATATGTACAGTCGAAAAAGTCTTTATTGTCTTCAGTAGTAATGTCCCATGCCGCAGTGTGTAGTTCGTTAATATCAGCGGGGCTATATGAGCAATAGCCTTTCAAAGTNCTATATGAGCAATAACCTTTCAAAGTTTATATATAGTAAGGGTTATAAAATTATGTATGATTTAATTAGAAAGAGTCATTAACGATTACTCATTAGCTCAAATAATAGTGCACGTGTATATTTTAGCTAATTAAAGTAAATACTTTCAATTAGAAAACATCAATAACTTATACTCGTTAGCGAAAATAATTATTTGTTTGTGTTACTGAACTATCGAATAGAATTTGACACAATATCAAAAATGTAGTTGCAAATAATATTGCACTGTAAATATCTTTATAAATATATTATTAAACTATAAGTTTAAAATAAACGATATTAAACGTAATACCACTGTTAGTCTACTCCATTCTATTAAACTACTTATTAAGGGGCATGAATTAAGGAAAGTCAATTTTTTTATGTTGTACACACTTTACACATGTAGCCATGTTTAGGTAGTGTTGGGTTAAACGCCGCCGTCATCACCACTAACGTTGACGCTTCCGTCGTCACCGTCTTAATTATCATTGCTCTAATGTCTTTTTGTATTTTAAATTTTGACTTTAACTACTTATTTGTGAGTGCGTGGAAATAAATAAAATCATTAAGTAATTTTTCTAAAATAGACCTTTTGTTGGGTTTCGTTGAGTTAAAATGCCGCCGCTCTAATGACATTTCACATTTCACTGTGAAATTGTGTCAGAACATATATTTCTTATCTACTAGCTTTTTTCTTTATAAATATGATACAAAAACAATGAAAAAAAAAATGGTGTAATTGCTATAGCAGTTGTAGTCCACTCGTGACTTTTTTCTACTCGTACAACCATATGACTGCTTTAGCAGTTACGTAAATAAATTTATATTTTTGTGTTAAAATTTATTATTAATACATTTTATATAATTCGTAATTATGTATAAATGAATATAACTCGCACATTTCAAATAAATCATTTTTATTTATTTATACTTATTAACATGATAATTATTATAATATATCCTTTTTATTGTAACAATAAAAAAATGCATTTGATACATACAGTTTTTAAATAGTTAAAATTATTTATTTACATAATAATTTGAAATGCAGGGTCCTGGGCACAATGGTTTCATGATTAAATTGTTATTTTCTACAGATAAGATTGTATTATGAATGATAACGAAATACAAAAAAAAAAACCCACATTATTTTTCAATAATCTATTTTTAGAATACATCCAATACTTTGCCTGACAAGTGTGCAAGTCGTAAATGAACATTTGATCTGACTTAATACGATAAAGCTATTACGAACATAACTACCATAAGAGTTATGTCATTTTACGACTTCTAAAAATATTACTGTTATAGCAGTTATAGTCAAATTATGACTTAAAACACAATGACTGCTATAGCAGTGACTGTCCATCAACGTGTTAAATTACCGTGTAGGACCGTATGGACAAAAAATTTCACATTAAGCCGGGTTTACATTGGTAGAGTACACTAGCCTACTATTTTTCCTACTCACTCTACTCTACTAGTTTTAGTAGAGTAACTGTTTACATGAAGCTAGTATTTAGTAGAAGAGAGAGTGCAGTTGATGTGTAAACTCACGCCGTCAAGGTTAGGCTTGATCCACATCAAAACATCAAATAAACAAATATGGATATAGTACGTCGTCGTCATTGTTGAAAATTATTAAAGAAATGCCTTCGTGTGGTTACAACTGCGTTAGTAAATGTTATTTTAGAATTCACTGATGAAAGTAATGAAGAAAAACGAATTTGGGTTCGAGAGTGAATAAAAAGAAGAACAGTACTTGGCGCATCAGAAAATATTCTTACTGAACTAGCTTTAGAGGATCCAGAAGAGTACAGGCCGTGTTTAAGAATGACACCTGAAAATTTTGATCAATTATTGAATTTGGTATCACCAACTATTCAAAAACAGGATACTATTCTTCGAGATGCACTACCAGCGCGCATTAAGCTACAGATAACAGTGAATTTTTAGCAACTGGTAATAGTTACCGAACCCTACAACATTTCTTTAGAATGTCAATTCCAGCAATATCTAAATTTTTACCAGAAGTTTGTGACGCCATTTATCAAGCCCTAGAACAATATATCAAGGTATTTTTTTTTTAATTATTTCGTAAATAGGTACAATATATTTTATTATACATTCATAAAATATAGAACATTTACAATATATTAGTTTAAATGTTAAGACTACTATAACTAATACCAACTACAATAAAAATGGCTTTTATTTTTTTAAAATTCAAATCATTTTAATATTATGGACTGAAAAATTAAATGAACAAAAAAAATCCCATATGGGGAAAATTAAATTAAAATTAATTACCAGGTTTTTGCAATTATATTATCCCTGTTGATTTCATCATATTCGTTGCATGTGTTGGCTGATAATAGATTGTATTGGGTAGATGTGTCTTGATCAGTAGCTATATTGTATTGGGGAGATGTATCTTCATCAGTTGTATAAAAAGACTATAGTGACGTAGAATAAAAACTGTTTGACCCAGACTGTTCTGCCAACCGGTACTTGGTCAAAAGAAACTGTATATCACTTTGAGCCAAAATAGCTTCTCTTGGTGACAACTTATTAAGTGCTGCAATAACGTACTGGCCAAAAGCATCATTATCACTTATTTCAGTGGAATCCATTTTGTTTAAATCAGCTTGAATATTGCTCAGTTCTATAACTACTGTTCAAAATTATGTAGCTTTCTTTTTTTAGCTGATGTTTTTGTAACTACTGGAGTTTTTGCCGTTGGTGTTGTAGGCTTTTGTGGGTTTCCAGCAACTAGAGTTGCTGTCATCGGCGTTGTAGACATTTCTGTGTATTTACCTGTTACATTTTCCCATAGCTCTTCTTCGTTACCTTAGTTAATTAAAAAAAACAAAAATAAATAAATAAAATAAATTTATGCTCATTGAACAATGTTATAACGGTACGGAAATAACTGGCTGAATGAAGGTTTATTTTTATATTTTTTGAGTTGGATTTGCAGAGAAAGTTCTCGGTTTTCATTATTTGTTCCAGGTGTTTACACAGAGTGATGAAATTAATCGGAGATGTTAAGAAAATTGGCGGAGGAGGAGGTGGTGATAGAGTAACTCGTTGAATTCTGTGTTAATTTC